AGTATGAATACATGTTAATAAAATGGCTAATGAGGGAATTGTTTTAATGGATCAATTGTTTTCTAACTAGGGATGTGAAGTGTTTATATAAAGATTGACAGTGAGTCACCAACGCAGAGTCTACTAGAATACTGATTACACTGACTTTCACATTCGTTACAATATGCTTAACACTGGAATTCGTAGCTAAATATAAAAAAACATCTCATAGCTTTCAATGATTTACATAATTCATTAGAATTTAAATAATCTTGATCACAAACTTTTGATAATCTTCTTCATATATCACCATATAACATTAGATGTAGTTCTGATTGGAGACCAATTTGTAGACAAAAATCTTTGTATTCATAAGTTTTGCTCTAACAAAAATGCAAATGGTGGAATTTCATCTTTTATTGGTAAATTTAAACAAAAATATTTTTCTTGTGAAAATTGACATGTACGCAAACAAATACATTCATAATCTTCTAATTCTTTATACATTTCTGTACGATATTCAAGTTTTATTTCATATTGAAAATAATGATAAATAGTTTTTAAAACAAATATTAATAAATCATCAATACTATGTTAAGACATTGTGGTTGTTAAAGATGATCTTACATAACTAACACCGAAAAGGGAAAATTTCGATATAAAAGAATCATCAGAATGAACAAACTTGATTTTATGATATTCTAATGAAAACATCTTTGCTAAATTTGCTAATTCTTTTTGTGATAATGAAAATTGTGGTTTCTTATTTAATTTAAAAAATTCTATTGCATCTTGTTCAATAGGTTCTGTTTTATCATTAAAACCATTATATTGTTCAAGACAAACAAATTCAGGCAATAAATATGATGATATCCAACATTATTTTGCATCTTTTAATGATCCTTCATCACTTAACTTAACTCATGTATAACGGAGATGTTCAGTTGTTGTTATCTGATTTGAATTCATGTATTGGTCATGTAATTGTAATAAATCATCATGTTCAATATGCATTCTATATCGTTCAAGAAATTTATAATCTAATATAGAATTATCATAATGTATCCAATTTATTAATATATGTTTATATAAATGTTTTGATTGTTAACGTTGTTCATCTGTCCAACCTTCTTGCTTATCATTAACTTGTATTGATTCCATTATTTGTTTACATGTATCAATTGGAATATAAGAACGTAAACCACATTCTTTAAGAAATTTTAACATCGTTGAAGTATGAAATTGTTCATTCTGGTGAATCACTCTAAAAGCAAAAAAAAAGTTATCAAGATGAAAAAAACCAGAAGATTAGTTTTCTGTGATAGTCAGAAAGGATATCGAAAAGTTTCATATTCTATTGCAATTTGCTTCTTGATGTATGGCTATGAATGAAAGATATGTTTTGTTATAGTATTTAGTCTTTTGTTTGTCGACAAAAATAAGTCAAATAAATTTTAAGAAAGCATTATTTTTTCAAATGATAAATTGACAATAGTTGTTAAATTTCGATAAGCACTAAATATACAAACAAGAAGTTAATTATTCTTCTGTAAGCATCTAAATTTTAACGAAAATATATACATTTCATATTAATAGCTGCTATTCTATAGAAAAATTGATGGTTTCGTAGTTTATCTAAGTTCACTCTTCAGAAGAAGCAGTTTAGAACTATAGGGAATCGGTCACATTATTTTCAATGTTACAACTCAGAATTCCAGAATGTTACAGGTTTCAATCTTCAAGCAAATATTACCTTTTTGATTTCTGAGTGGAAAAAACATTGTCATACTTGTCTTTCTCTCAGAGAATTGAATCTTTCTTTCCTAGCTTAATTTCACATACAAAAAAAAAACAACTTTTTTAATTAAAAACTTTTCTGCATTTCGAGAAGACATCATCACTAACTATTAACTTAATGGATCAAATGTACATTGTTTAAGTTCTGAAAATTCAAGTTTAATAATAGAATATGCATTTCCAGTGTTGGTTTTCGTTTTTTGAATATCCCTTTCGTTCGAGCTTGTTCTATATGTCTGGGATAAATTAGCAAGCTTGAGTTCTCTTCCAACGAATATATTATTGACTCTTGAAGTTTACGCCTTTGCTAAACTTAATTAGTTAATTAATTAAATAGTAATTCATAAATAATTCTCTAATTTAACTACAGACAACTTCAGAAATTTCAAAATAGACTAGAACAAAATGGCTCACTAAGAATCTAAATAATAAAGATATGCACCATTTAGAATTGACTTTTATCTTCTTATTCAGTTACAAAAGGACTTTTCGTTTCTATAGTCGCACTCATTCACACCATTAGCAACAAATAAACTAAATTTTTTGAAAAACCTAAGCATGTTCATGAAAATTCTTGTGTAGAGATTTTCTACCCTGAAGAGTTCTCTACAAAACGCACTCTTTAATATCCAATACTACTATTTGAACGTGCGAAGATTTGTGATTGGAAATACGTGTAATGGAAATTTTTGTTCTTTTTTGTGTATTACTTCTTTAATTTTAGTTTTGCAAAGTATTTAGCGTAATTCAGCATACATCTGTTATATAAAAGTTAGCTGAAAGGAGTTTGAAAATTCAGAGGTATATGCATATTATACTTTGCAAAATCATCTCGCTAAAGAATGATATCGTCCATATACGATACCTCCAAAAATTGATCATAGAGATTTAATTTCAATTTTATCCGTAATAATCATCGGCATAAATAAAAATGATGTCTTCGAGCTCTTCATGCATTTAAGGAAAAGTGCAAATATGGTTTTTTCCCACACTACTTTCTGCTTGGAAAAAAAGAACTTTTTTATACTTTTTCTTAAAATTAGTGTAATTCTGTCAAAAAACGTTATCGAGAGTTCGGAAACATCTCTTTTCTAGAGAACTAGTTACTCTATCATCGTGTATGATCATATGAAACTTTATTTTTGAATTTTAACTTCTGAACAACTAGATTTCGAGTTTTCTAGAGATTTTGGACTTTGTAAATGCAATAAGGATTTCATTTTTGTCAAATCTTTTTTTTGGAAATAAATCTGTCTATTGAAATCCCTATTCGAAATGAAATATGTATGATAAATTTTTAAACCGATTTAATATATACGTTACACTCCTATAGTGCATCCTTATCGTTTAATTCCTTATTTTACCGATAATCTTGAAACTTCAGTTAATGTTTTATGTAAATAGTCGATATTATTATAAGATGCTTGTGTAAATATTTCTAAATGATCATATAATAATAGTCTAGATTGTTCTTTTTGATGTTGAGATAATTTTTCATCAATAAAATACTTCAATAAATTAACTTGTGATTTTGCATCTAACGGGTGGCACATAATAAATGGGTCTCTCAGTATTTTGCATGTATTTCACTGATACTTCCAGTGCAAAGCAAAAATTGTTTTTTGAAAAATATTTCTCGTGAAATTCTCTATAAAACCTTATGAAAAGAAATGCTTCAACGAATAGTAATAGAATTATATCAGGTCGACACTACAATGCTCCAAAATGGCGCACTTTCAAAGGCGCATTTTTGAAAATTAATTATTTTATTTCTTCTAGAAAACCAGATACGAAAAACAATTCTAATACAAGTTTTCTGTGTTTCCGAGTGTACTCTTTCTAATTCAGCTTAAAAGAAGATATTCAGATACGATTGCGAGGTTACAGTGATCAATCTTCTACAAAAATGCGTTAGAATCATCAATTGTTCATGTTATGCACCTCAAACGTTGCAGAAAAGCACTTTAAAACATTCTACTCGCAGAAATATGACAGAAAAAATGTTTTCCTTCAACTTAGTAATAAATTTGAATATGTAATAATTTTTCATTTGTGATAAAAAAAATTAAAATTATAATGAGCCTTAATGGAGGATTCTCAGAACGTGAACAGAGGGGAGCAAAGAAAAGGTTTTGTTCGAGTAAATTTAGAGCATGTCAAAAAAAGTATTTGCCGAAGCGATAGAACTTTTCATGGGCTACAAAATGGTCAATTGAGTTTCTTTCTATGGGATCGAAAGAGCGGCAGAAAATCGTTAATATGAAAACAATTGCATTGAAAGTGAGTCATTTTGGAGCATCGCAATGTTGACCTGACATAACTTCATAGCTAATCGTTCGAACATATCTTTTCATAAGGTTTTGTAGAGAATTTCACGAGGAAGATTTTTCTAAAAAAACTTTTTGTTCTGCATTGAAATATCAGTGAAATAGATGCAAAATACTCAGAGGCCCATTTATTATGCGCCACCCGTTATTTTTCTTAAATGTGGTAAACATAATTGTAAGAAATTTATTTACGAGAGATTTCATGAGACCATTGAGGACCATGCCTGAAATCGAAGTACTCGATAAAATTTAGTGTTTTATTTGATGTTCTCATCTTTTTTACCATCATCTAAAACCTCTAAATTCAAATTTTTAGCGCATATGGTTGAGTTATTGAAAAGTTAGCCCGATCCGACTTTCGAACACTGCAGAGGATATTTGAATAATATCATCAAAAATCATTAATATTAAGTCGAGATTCTTTTAATAACTACAAATTAATAAAAGGTTTTGTTTAATATATCAAAAAATAGAGCATTGAAAGCTGAAAAAAATGTGCTATCCACATATTATGTTTTCATGGACTAATGCAGAGTTACGGGTGTAGGTGCGGATGTTTATTTTTCACATTGGCACACCCACATCCCTACCTCTTTATAGGTAAAAAATTTGAAAAAAAAACTCAATTTTCTTTTTAAAAAGTCAAAAAAGAATCTTTTTTTGCATTTTTCTCAAAATCAATTTTTGAACAAAAAAAATGAAGTTTTTCTCCTTTTTCTTCCTCATGGTATGTCCAATCGGGCTCAATTTTTTTATGAGTACTTCCATCAAATTGGGGTGCGTGTTTTTTTTTCTTCAAAATGTTGTTCTTACGAAATTTGGTAGCCTTTAAAAAAATAGTACCATTGAAAAAAACACGTTTTTGACGATGCTTTCAGTATTTTGCTTCTCCTGAGCTCTAGGAATGATATTTTTGAAAGAAAAAAGAATATGCACCCCAATTCGATTCTAGTTGTCATAAAAAAATTGCAGCTCGAAAAAATGAAGTATAGAGTTTTTGCGGCAGGGAGGGGAACTTCCAGCCATTTTTGGCCTTTGCAACCCCCCTATCTGTCTGAAGAAAACGCCAGGAAATTTTGAGTCTATGATAACTTTTACTTCACTCATCGAAATCTATCTGCCCTGAAAGTTTCATCATGTCTCGCCGAACCGTTCTCGAGAAATCTCGGAAAGGAAGGGGGGTCCCCTTAAATTAATTCTAGATTAACAGGAAAGTGGTATCCCTTCTATGGAGATCAGGTCCTAAAGTGGAAGGATAATTGGCATGAGAATCTGAACGAACACAGTGACTCAGAATGGTGCTGTAGCTGGCATTCGAGCTGTTCTAACTGGATTATGATTTAGATTCGTAGCCTATATGCAGTGAAACACAATTACTCTTTCGTTTCTCTACGGGAAGAACAAAAAAAAAGGCATATGAATACTTTAATTAATGCATATATTGACAATAACATAAATAATTTCCTATTACTGTTGCTCAAACTGTTCGAACAATGAGGAACAGACATAGAAAAATAATGGGTATTCTCTCACGAGAAAAATACAGTATAATGCGTACATGAAGTGTACAGTGTCATCACGTTAAGGATGAGCAAGAATGCCAAACACATGAAAAAACCTAATTTCTTATTTTCCAGTTATTCCAGTTAATTACTATTATTTAGTTTTGCCATCTCGGTTATCATTTTTTAGAGAGAAAACTTTCGAACTTCATGACGACATGAATACTTGTGATCAGTTACAGTTAAGCTAACTGTTAGCTTCTACAGGTTGTTCGGAAAGTTATTCAGCAAAAAGAAAATTAAGTATGTTCATCATTTCTTGACCAATCCGGACAATGTCTTTTTAATTGAAAGAGAAATGTTCCGAATTTTTATTCATGAATTAGGAGCGTCTTGATACACTTGAAATCTAGCACAATCTAGTTCAATATAGAGGTTGAGCATTTAACCAGTTACTTCTGATGTGTCGGTTTTCATCAATAAATATGTTACCGTGGTCAAATATCGGAAAATGTGAAATGGTTCGAGCGTCTCGAGACTATGCGAGGTTGTCAGTAAATTGATTCTAGCACTGTTATTTGTTGATTGAAATAGTAGTATT